CCAAACCGTGCTTTGGGCCAGGAGGGACTGTGATCATGGTTCTTGGGACAGTCCCCCAGTGGCATCGCCATGAAGTTTGGGGTGGCCCAAGAAGTATTTTGCCCCATAATCCCATCCTAATCTGACCTTCATTTAGGGCTCTGTACTCAATGAGAGATATTATTTTACATATTAATTAGTACATATGTGTAGCTAATGACATTCTGTGTCTTTAGGATGTGTAATTCATTAATAACAAGTTTTTATCGGGTCTAGATTAGTTTTGAAAAAGGAACTGAGAATAAGGAATAGGGAACTGGGAATAGGGAACTGGGAATAAGGAACCAAATTCAGCCTCATATGGGAAGAGTCATAACATGTAGAAAGGTGCCAGCTAATATCATGCTACTTCTACTTTTTCTTTTTTTTATGATTTTACTTTGGAGGAGACAAACAAATAAGAAAGAAATGGGGAGGGTGATTTAGCTACTCCTCCTGGCCGAATAATTATAGACAAGAGCAGCATTGCACCAATACTTAGTTTGGCAGAAGATAGGGCAGGTGCCACCTTAGAGACTATTTAGTTCAGAAAGGCATGAGCATTTGTAGGTGATGGCCTACTTCATCCCATACTAAGTGAGTTTGGTCCCTGTATTTCCTTTAGAAACATTTGGAATTTTCTGTCTTCTGAACATTTTGGAGTTAAAATGTGCGTGCCCATCCTAAAACAGCCACTTGACTTTGTGGTACACTATGTGGAATGTACCTTTGCAGGGCCTGCAGTGGAACGTTTCTGTCTTTCCCCCTGATGCCCGGTAGGTGCGGTTTGTTGGTGGTGGGTTGTTGTTCTCTCTGTAAGCTGTAAGTGTGGGTGTTGCTGAATCCTGTTCCTAATAAAGATAAAGCTGTTTACCATCCCACGGGTCTCTGCTGAGGACAGAGCCCCAGGGGCATGGAGGTCTGAGTGATTACCCCATCCCAAGAACCCAGTGGCCAACAACAAACACGATATGGTGTCAGAAGCAACCTGTCTCTCAGTGGAATCACCACCAGTCTGATTAAGGGGGTTAAAACTCCAGTCATCTGGAGCAGGGGTTTAGAGCAACGACCCCTGGGAGCTGCCTGTGCTGCTGACCTTCTGCCACTGACTGCCCCAGAAGGGACTCAGTCCTGTCCCTTATTCTGCAGCTGACTGTCATCGGATGGAGTTCCTGAGCGTTGTGCTTGGGTCATGCTAATTGCTGCAGGAGCCTACTCTGGTGCTTGTTGCTTGCCTTTTTGTTTACCACGGAGGGCCCCTTTGGGTGGGGTTGGGGTTTGATACAATTTGATTGCTGCAGACCAGAAGAGCCTACACTGTTGCAGTCTGTTGCTTATTGGGAAGCCTGTTGGAGCTGCTGGAAGCAAGCACCCTGCTTCCTTGCTGTAGCGTCTCAGCAGTGACTGAAAGCTGCCAGTTACCCTACCTGTGGTTGAGTCAAGGGTTGACTAATGCATTCTGGTTTGTTTTGTGACTCTGGTTATGCCATTTAAGTTCACTTGTAAATACCTTTCCTATTATTCTTGTTGTGTAAATAAAGTGTAAATAGTTAAATCAGTTAAGTGTTAGACCTTCTTGGAACCACGGGCTGCTCTGTGGGGAGCAGGGGCTGGCTGGAAAGTAAATTGGTGCTGGCCAGAAGCTCTGCCCCACTCTTACCACACCATCCCTGATATCTGGGCAGGGGTGGCAACTATCGGGCTGCCACCTGGGTTACACCCGCAACCAAGGTAGACCTTCTCAAACTATACCTGTATGTTTTCGAAGGGTTGGGCCAATTTCCTGGGACCCACCACATCTATGCTGTCCTGGTGGTACCACCAGTAGTGCATGGGTGTAGAAAAATTTCCTATGCAACCCTAGGCAAATTGAAGACCGCCCTCAAAACACTGGAAGCTATGAGAGTCATTACGAAGGTGACTAAGCCCAAACCCTGGGTCAACAGCCTTGTGGTTGCACAAAAGAAGGATGGTTCACGACAGCTTTGTTTAGACCCACAAGACCTCAGCAAGCCAGTAGTGAGGCAGCACTTTTTTATCCCCACTGTAGAGGATGTGCAAAAGAGCATGTCAGGTAAAAACCTGTTCACCATTCTTGATGAGAAGGACAGCTACTGGCAAGTCAAATTGGACAAGGAATCAGCAGAGCTGTGTTTCTTTAACACCCCATAGTGACGGTTCCACCTCAATATCCTTCCCTTTGGTATTAAGTTGGCTAGCAAAGTACAGGCAGTCCTTGGACTTACGACACAATTGGTTCCTGAAAACTGTGTCTTAAGTCAAAACGTTGCAACTCAGAACCGATTTTCCCATAGGAAACAATGTTATAAATGGGGGATTGGTTCCTGAACCAAGGCCTGATACCCTGTTTTCACCAAAAAGAACCCAGAATTATGTACTCAGTCAACTATAGATGGGTAATATAGCTACATTAATGTATTTATATTGTAAATAGCAATCATATTGATTTGGAAGGACTTCTTAGAGGTGACTTTGCTGGACTTTTTGAAGGGCTCTTGGCTGGATTCTTCTCAGGAGTCTGTCTGCAGGTTTTTCTGGAGTCTTGTCTGCTTTCTTAAAGAAAGTGTCCAAGAAAGTTTGGACAGATGTTCTCCAGGGAGATGGGTGACACAGCGACTTGTTTGCTGGTATGGCATCACATCAGATCAAGTGTTGTAAAGTCGAAACTGACATCAGAAAGTTGAAGCAGGGTGTTAATTTAGAAACGTTGTAAGTGCGAAACGCTGTAACTCGAAATGTTGTAAGTTGAGGACTGCCTGTATTCCAACAGAAGAATCATGAGTGCTTTGGTGACATTCTGGGAATCCACATAATCTTGGATGACAAGCAGCAGCTACCAAAGAGGAGCATGATACTATCCTGAAACAAGTCCTGGAGAGAGCACGTCTGAAAGAAGTAAAGTTTAATGAGGACAAAATACAGTTTTTAGTTGACAGCGTTAGGTATATGGGCCATATCTTCTCAAAAGATGGTGTCAAACCAGACGATGACAAAGTGGAAGCCATCATCAGGATACTTCCTCCAATAGACAAAGCAGCCCTTCAGAGACTCCTTGAAACTATTCAGTACTTGCTGCAATACATTCCGCATGAGTCCAGCCTGACAGCCCCGCTGAGAGTGCTTCTCAGGAACAACGTTATCTGGCAATGGGGACCAGAGCATCAGACAGCCCTGGATAAGCTCAAACAAACCCTCACAACAGCACCTGTGCTCAGGTAGAGCACAGCAGAGCAGCTGGAAATGCAAGCTGGTGTGTCCAAAGATGGCCTAAGAGCATGTCTGTTTCAGCAGAAACACCCAATTGCATATGCTTTGAGGGCTCTAGCACAAGCTGAGAGAAATTATGCTCAGATTGAAAAAGAACTTCTGGCAATTGTCTTCACCATGACAGAGTTCTACCAATGTGTATGGCACCACACAAACTAAGAGTGTACGTGTGGTGAAGTTGCCTGTGAAGTACGAGAACTATGTAATGTTAAAGGCTAGACCACATCGGTGAGCCAAGTGCTAGCAATGTCTGGCTCCATGATCCCAAAACGTTCAGAGTTAAAATAGCTACTGATGAACATTGAACTTCTTAAGAGGGAGCTCCCAGAGTAAAGAAGGGGGATGTGGTATATGGAATGCACCTTTACAGGCCCGATTTCCTGTGGGTGTGGCTTGTTGGTGGTGGGTTGTTGTTGTGCTCCCTGCAAGCTGTGAGTGTGTGTGTGGCTGATTCCTTTCCTAATAAAGGTAAAGCTATTTACCATCCCACCAGTCCCTGGTGAATGCTGACTCCAGGACAGAACCCCAGGGGCACGGCCCATCCCAGGAATCCAGTGGCCAAGGGCAAACACTGCCTCAGGGAGGCACAGCATTTGCATGGCCTGACTCGCCAAGGGTGGCAAAAGGTTACCCTCAGGTTCACAAGGTTCCTTGGGTGAATCTGATCCCTTTTATTAGACCAACTTAAATAGTTGGGGGGGAAAAAAATTAAGCAAGCTTTCAGGTTTAAAAACCCTTCGTCAGGGTGAGGAAGTTTGTGCAGTTGGTGTGCGCGCTTCCTGGATGGAATGAAAAGTAAAGAAGCCAGAGGCTGGGCTGGCCTGCGTGCAAGCTAGGCAGTCAATGAAGATGTAAATTGAGGAGTCAGTGGGTGAGAGAGAGGCTGGGTGGTTCTGCACCCAGGGGCAGGCAACCTGCCCTAATTTGTCTGGAGCAGATTCATAAAGGCCTTTATTTGGAGCAAACCCCGTCTTACAAACAGCTTGTCGGGCAGCCTGATACACCAGACATGCAATTTAACCAGAGACTCACACAATACATTCAGGGGGGGCCACATGCGCAAAGTAACGACAGTAGTACCACACACTCGACTGCTTAAAGTGGTCATAAATGTAGGCTGTCACGGGTGCCAAGTAATTATCCCGGGACAGAAATGACGACGCAGTGACAAAAAAAGCCAACCTGCTGCACAACCAGTGCTTGGCAGCACGTCCCAACTCTGGTTTCTGCCCAGCTTGAATTTGGCGGGTGGAGGCCTTACTGAGGAGCCCGACTGCCCGCGCTCTGCTCCGCTTTGGAGAAACGAGCACGGCAGCGGCCGATCCTGGCAAGGGGAAGCGAGACGCGCGTGTGCATTTGCGCGTGTGTTGCACTTTCCCGCCAATCCGGAGTCTTCTCACAGACCCCGCCCCCCGCTCTAGAC